TGAACGACCGTGTACATCACCCCTGAGGTGATGTTTATTGCATTTTTATCATCATCATTATCAGTGTATCGGTCATCAGTCAAAATGTCCGCCTGCCACATACATCATGCTGCCAGGCTCTTCCTCCAGAGGCCCATACATCATTGCGGACTCCCCACCTCTCCAATTACCAAGTGAATTTACCACAATGCAGTGGCGACAGCCCATGTAAGCAATCGCTAACAGCATTTTTAATTTTCATTCAATCTGTAAAATTTGAAGTTGGCATACCAAAAGGACAGAGGATTTACACTTGCACGTGGTGTGACATGAACGATTTGATGCTTAATTTAGCGTTAGCATTGGTAGGAGCTCCGTGACCATCTACTGATCTAACGGTCCGGGTATCGTTCGTATGACGACTCACTCACCGTGCCATTACGCTTTGTTAAGCCACCCAGTCAGGCTTGTACGAAGTGTCATTACTGTTCACAATATCAACGAATAATTTACAAATAAAAACGCCTTCTCCTGTCGTCTCTGTTTCTCTGCGTGTTGCTTATTGTTTGGTTGGCTGTAGAGAATTATTGTCTTTGATCAAATCATCATTTGAGTGTCAGTATCATAAAACCCATCGGATTGGAAGGTACATATCGTGGGTTTTTGGTTTTCCAGTGATTAATCACTGAATTGAAACAGTTTAAAGAATAATTGGAGATCGAATTATCACTGTCACTGAGTTTTATTTTGGTTCCATTGCTCGCACGACCACGATAGCATGGTTACACGCTTCCAGACCCCATGACGAAGTATACATATAACGGGGTACATCTACATCATATGCAAGAATGGTTACACGCTTCCAGACCCCATGACGAAGTATACATATAACGGGGTACATCTACATCATATGCAAGAAACCCACAGATTCATATGTATTTTAACTCTAGGGATCATGTCAAAATTAAACGTCCCAGATTCATTGCTTGTTCGGAGATTCAAGAATACATATCGCGGGAAACGTACTGAGCAGCTTCGAGTCAAATTTCCGCTCACCGCTTTCAAATATGGGTGCGTGCGATTGGACACACTCTTGCCGGAAGATATCGAGAAAAAAACTGCCAAAAGAAGACCTATCACAATACCAATATTCCTTTGTTAACCTTATATCAATTATTATTCGAAAGGCAAAATAGACACTGAATTGTCATTTTATCATCATCTAACATCAGCGTGATACAAAACATCCTGTGTATATTCCATATTTCTTATTTTTGGGCTCAAACCGTATGGGTTCTTTTCAACGAGTCTCAAAACATGGCAATGAAAAGGGGTTCGTTATTAAAATACTGAAACACAGTGATTGGAGGTGAATCCAAGCTGTTCGCTAACTCACCGGTGAATACCGCTATTGTATCCGAATGCACAGCTAGGATATGGCGAGGCACGCAAACCCAAAACTCTGTGCGGCACAACACAAGGAATGGCCACTCCATTCTATAATTATGTGCTATGACTTTCAGTCCGGTTTTATTGTAAATTGCTAAGCCGCATTTGTTAACTCGGTGTAAATATTATGAGACGATTAACAAGTTAACGACAACTTTCATGACGATGTAGGAAACTCTCATTCACAATTCCCCCCAGTACCAACGGTACTATCCAGTTCGAGCCGTCAAGCACAATTTTTATTCTGTATGGCATAATATAATTTGTTTTGTAATGGAACATGATAGGTGTATATTTCATCGTGATATGAACATTCTGTTAAATTCCAGCACTGTCCAAATCCATTGTGTCCAGCAAATTCAAATTTCCACGTGAACGGTGGCTGGCTTCATTTGGAACAACTCGGGCGTACACAACCGTCGTATTTCTCGGAGAAATAAAGAAAGAGAAAAAACCTGCAACTTCATTTCAATTTTCAACTTTTATGATCACGTTAATTAACCCGTGGGGTGAATTTTGATGACTTTTCACAAGTTTGCCGTCTTTTTGTAAGCCATATTCGCCAGAAAGCTTCATGTATTAAAATTCCTCTCAGACTATCACTTAATTTCCGTTGCGCCATTCATTGTTTTAATTATTTATTATAGCAATGTTCATTTTATATGTATTTATATATGCATATATATATATATATGCTTCGATATCGGTGTAAATCACCATTTTAAATTCTGCGTATTTCTTGACTATTCGAAGCGTGTTCCTAGGATACAATCGTCGTTACGTTTGCTGTCAAGGTTTTCAAGTTGTTTTCAAGGTTTTGCTTTCTATATCTAAACACTCCTGACCGGGCGAGTTTCATAAGTATTTACACCCGAACCAGGATACCAATCGTCATTGCAGTTTCTTCGGCTTGGTCAGTTTCACAGGAAATTGTTTACTTACAGAACCCGGACTTTCTACTCATGATAATCGTTTGTTTATGACAATATCTTATTGTAAGTTTGTATTATAGTGTACATTGCGATATGATATCAATTTCCTTGTCTCCACTTATGTCAATTTGGTTACTTCGGTTGCATACGTGTCAATTTCTCTTAGCTGCCACATTGTGCCATCAAGTGATTGCATATATGTGAAACGTTCTACATACGTTGCGAACAAACTACGGTATACCGAATACATGATCAGGCTGATTCACCAGCCCCGAACACACAAGCCAATCAGACAGCACGTTACATATGTGAAACGTTCTACATACGTTGCGAACAAACTACGGTATACCGAATTCATGATCAGGCTGATTCACCAGCCCCGAACACATAAGCCAATCAGACAGCACGTTACTTGTTTATTGAGATTGACAATCACTTTCATGTATGAAGAAACTCTTTTGGGCTCAACTCGGACAAACTCAAAAATGCTATATATTTTGGTGTATCGTCTATTAAATGAAAGTCTGTTCATAGGATGTTCAAACAATTTAAGTAAATTTGCTGTGGAAAGCCTATGTGATGGAGTAAGTTTAAATTGAATTCGCATAGGGATTTTTAAGAAAATCTGCAGGCGACTTTGATGTGTATGCGACATCATGAATATGCTAATTCCAATTTAATGAAATAGACTAGTTTGCTTGAGGTCTTTCAGTACACGTGCAAGAGACAAGCGTGCATGCATGGTTAAGTCAAAATCGTGTGTACTGTGTTTTAAATAAAATGAATAGAAATAATATTTAATTTACAGGCAGCTAAAATAGGGCTACTAAGCGTTTAACCACTTTCAACATTAAGAAGTGCCTAATGACTCCTGTATATATTGTTTTCTTTTGTGAAAAACAAGAGAGTGGATCAGAATCGGTGTTGTCTGACACCGAAAAAAAAAACACATTTCCTATATGAAAACCTTTTCCTAAATCTGGGACGTGGCTGACAAAGAACATCAAGAGACGTATTTGCTGACGTTTGAGGCAAGTTTTCAATTAGCTGACTTCTCGCTGTATTGTTACAGACGGTTTTGCAACAGGCGTAATCTCATTTCAACCTATACAACTACTATCATGTAAAATTATATTTACTTTTTGTGAAAAGACGCAAATCCGGTTTGTGCGTTTATTCTGTCAGGGCTGCCATCCATAGAGTTAATTGGCGCTAACTTATGGCGTTTCTGATACACTGAGTACTGTGAACGGGATCCCCTTCTTAAATAAACTCCCCGACCAGATTTTCATCGGTATAGCGTAATTTTTCAATGATCGGGGAGCACGCTTAAATGATTTTAATCATGAGCAGTTTAATTGATTTCTTTTGCGAGGACGAGTATTCGTAAATATTTCAAAAATAAAATAGAAAGAAAAAAATGCTGATTCTGAAGCAATATCTTCTCTCATAAAAGTGATACCATATGTAACACAGGTTCTGTGATGCGCGCTTTCTATTTTTGGTGAGGTGTACTCGTTGCTACTGAGAGGGTCATAACAGATCAACGGGATAAAAAATTACTATCTCATTGGAAGCAGTGAAATTCCGTGTACTTGAAATTCCATGCGCTTGAAATCATACCCAAGTACACATCATTTGGCAGGGTTGTTCTGGAGCAAGTCTGTTTTTGAATTTCGCGCAAAAATTACCCAGAAAAAAGTATATCCCAGCTAATGTCGCAAACAACGAGGAGCAAAGTAAATACACCTAGGCGAGATTGGAAATAGATGAATGTAGAAAGACACGCTCATTCATACTCCATAACCACATGGGAATAATACATACTACAAATCAGTTCCAATATTGTTATGCCGCAGTACATTGGTTAATTAATATTGCCATCGTTTCATGGGCTGATTAAGTGAACGATTAAATAGCCCGAAGACCGATTCGTATATCTCGTGTTCAGCTACCCCGCAGTTATGGCAGAAAGAGTAATCGGGAGTCAGAAATATTGAAGCCGTATGTAGAGATGGCTTTAAATTGACATATGTGTTGAAACTATGATGAATGGCTTATATTTATGGGATTCACGGTTCAGATTTACTTATATATATTGAAATGTGGCCGACCTAATCATGATATCTTAGTAGAATTCAATGTAACCCATAATGCAAGTTTACACAATTTCGCAATGATCACAACAATTATGGTTCCCAGCGCATTTGCCGTGTAATTCCATTTTTTAGATTTGCAATTTTATGTTTACATATGTTCCGATGAGTAGGTCATACAGTAGCCAATGACGAACAATATGGCGAAGACAAACGATACAAAAGACGTGTACACCACAAAATAAACCAGCTCGAAAAAATGTAGCGCAAGTTACGAGGTCCACATTGGGACTGTTTTATCTGGCCTTCACTGGGGAGCTTTAACCACGATGACAAACACTGTTTTTGAGACGGTAATCATGCCAAAATGGGGGAATGACTGTTAAGGAAGCTAGCGCATCTCCTGGAAATCTCCGACAATATATATCCAGAGCTACTCTTCTAAATAATTGACAGTTCTGGTAGGGTCGGAATAATTTATGCTTATTATAGACGCCAATGCGCATGTCCACTAAATACTAACAACAGGTCATATTATCCTTACCTATATCTTTTTTGCTACAAACAAGACCTTCTGTAGAACTTGTATTGGTGGGGGTGGTACCATTTGTACTAATAGGAACATTGTGTGGAATAGGAGGGGGACCGGTGCTGTACCAGGGTCCGGTGCGCGGCCACGTCTGCCCATTGAGAAGTCGCAATTTGTCAAAAACTGGTTCTCCTCCCATTGGTCCATTCTTTTCCGCAGCAAGTGTTCGTAACACCCGATTGATTGATGAAACCTGCAGAAAAAGACAAAGAATATTAATAACCATAGCTCGCATTCAAGAATAATTTTCTGTTTGCAAGATTGTTTGTTTGCAGGATATATTAGTCTTTCCCGAAAATAATTTAAAATGTACTAAACTACATTTTAATTACATAAATTGAGAGACTTTTTTTTATTTTCGTTTTCATTTTAATATTGTTACTGACACTTAGTTCACTCCTCTAACGAACAAAAGTCAAGTAGGGACAATGATGATAACAAATGTGAAACACATGAAGCATCGCAATGCGATTGTTATACTAGTAGTTTTATTTTTTTATTTCAGTAATTTATTATTGATGGATTATAAGCATCATGGCGACCGTAAATAAAATACCTGCTGGGGGCTGTCAATAAATGCGACCTGTGATCGCATTCTGCTGTCGCTGTCACACTCCTGCTACGTAAAAATATGATAATTACGCCGATAAGTAGTCGTAACATGGCGTGTTGCAAGAATAGCCACAATTATAGAGATAGTCTTGACAAAAGTGAGATTCTGTCGCATCTCTCATCATCTCTGTGCATACACTCTATAAATACCTATCTACCAGTGATCGACAAAGGGGCAGATTTTTTTATGATTCATTCTGATACGACGAACGTACTGAGCTTTTTGGCCGCTTGCAAACTAAGCTGGTCCAAATCTTAGCTGCTGGGCATACGTCATGTTTGAAGACACCGACACAACGGAAAGGCTTTGCAATAATTCGTCCTGATGAAAATGTCAAAATGAGCGCTACTTATTAACGAAACCTGGAGACTATTTCTCTTATAATTGCACCCCTCCCCACAAACATACTCTTTCCATGTGTGAGACAAGCTACGTGGCAGACGCAGTTTTGTCCAATGTAGTAGATATAAAAAGTTTTTGTTTCAAGCAACATTGTAATATAAATTTCACTTATTACGATTTTAAGAATTAAGAGGAACTCTTTCAAACCGATGGACGCGATGAATACACTATACAGATACGTGTTATGGGTGATATTTGAGTTATTATATTTGTATTCCCTAAACTTGGCCCCAGTGGCAAGGTATATGAACTGTACTAGCCGACGGGTAAATCAGTCTTCGTGCACATAACTATTTGTATATAAACAAAAGAAAAAAACGAAAATAATGAACTTCATCGCATATGATTCGTTCAGCAGAGAGGTCTTTAACAAAAAGTTAAATTTTTCATCATACGTTATTCTAGCATCGATGCAAATGCGGACGCTGCAATATTCTCCTTTATATTGTTAGACGCAGGTTTTTTTTTCATATTTACAGTTCACATTATTCTATATACTCGACTTTCTTTGTGACCGCGTCAATTTTTCACAGTTGGTAATGGTGTTTGTTTGCCTCTATTTCATTTTTTTTACTTTTTACAAACTTCCTCATATAGTCGTTTACACAATAGAAACGATTAACGATCCAACAAAATAAAAGGATACGGGCAAAATATTCTTTTTTGAAATTAAAAGCAGTTCAATGTGATGGATTCAATGCCACTGCTGTGTCTTTTGTTGTGCAAATCTTAGCAACTCATTTTCATTTGGGCGCGTGTTATGTTCGATCCAAGTAATCAAGATCACTCGAACACAACATGAAAGATCGAGTCCACCAACTGTGCCAGTAATGCGCACAATACCCAAATAAAACAATTTAAGCATCAACACCACTTTAGTCAGTAAAGATGTAATTGTGCGTTTTCCAAGGAAATAAATAATATGACTTTATGAAAGTAATCGAAATTCAGTAATGTTTGACACCAAATAAAAGAAATGACCGCGGAGGAGGGGGGAAACTGACATGTTTTTGTGACCAGGAAATAATTGGGCATTAGAAGAGAGCTGATAACGACAATAGAATGCATGAATTGAGGCAATAGCTGGACAAATTGCATGTTCTAGTAGAGTCAGACATAGAGAGAAACAACATAACAAATAAACAGCTGGCAGAGTCCAGAAAATAATCGTCATCATCGCCACTTAATCCCCCAATATTGAGGATTCTGGTGTGGCAGTCCCGAATATAACTGTTCCACCATGGCACACCTCTTCGCTCTCGCGCGTTTCAGATTATATATACAACCGGGTGAATTTTTTGAGCAACATCAAAACTAGATGCAAAATTGTTCTTGTATTTTGAAACGATGTTCAGTATACAACATTCCAATAATTATGCGCATGTCAAGTCTTCATTGATTAGAGCAAGTCAGACCATATTTTTCACTTATATCTGATTTTGAACTCAACATTTGACACTCACCAAATGCATTGTATTATTATATCATGGCGTTCGACGTTTTTTTTCCCATGACACCAATCGAGGGAATCGCGCATAGCTAAAAGGGCAGAGATTTTATAGTTGGAGACAGGGAGAAACGGCAATTTGTTTGACATCCTGATTAAATTTGGCGGGAGAAACACGTCTTCACCCAGGAGGACTGAGAAATTGGCGCCAAAAGCTGAACCATAATAAAAGCTCAACCTGGACATTCACAACTACTTTTCAGACGGGTTGCATAAGCAGTATAAAATATAAAACTGAGGGTACTTATATGGTCAGTAAAGAGACGTCCACCCCACCCCCCTCGAAGGAGATTATTGAATCTCGAATGTGATGACATTATAAGACGTGATAATTTTACACTTATAACTTTGATGTTCACCGATATGCTGCTATTGAAGAGACAGGGTTGTCACACGATTGAGTATTACAGGTAATTTGGAAGATAATACATGAATGAAAAATAACGTTAATTAATAGGAATTAGGCGATTGCCCGGGAGTGTACTTGTAGAGATGTGTTGTAAATGGGGATTATATTGGTACTAAAAGTGAAAGCCGGCGTGGTTTGTCGCCATTTTATATATATTTTTGAGCGCTGAGACACTTGGGAACGCAGATGGACGATAGATGAAGTGGCGAATTGACATGGGAATTGATAAACAACAATCAAATATATGGACCGCCAAATGAGTAGTTGGTTCGTGGATGCCGAAAAGGAATCGCGCCGAGCACCGTCAAAGGGTCTGCCGTAATTGCTTGATTAATTCGGGACCTCGTGTTTGGGAGTTCACTCCCAATACACCCTGTCATTTCCCCCAACGGCAAACCAACAAATATATTACCCTTAAAGCATTGGATTTGAAGGGCCCTTGTTTTGCCTATTACATCCCAATATGCTCGCATTTGAGCCAAATCCGTAACTGGGACAACGCGTTTGGCCAATTGTTCCCTGGTTGTGATGGAAACGGTTTATTCTGCTTTATTGGGTGCATCTGGGTGACTTTTCATGCCGTTGCCGCCCCGGAGAGGAGCGATAAAAGTACCAGATCACTTTGCGCAATTTCGTACGCTTTGTTAGCTTTTACTCAGCAGACACTTGGACTGATCAAACGTTGCTACATGACATGTAAACTGTCAAATTTAGCCTTCAGCCACGGAATCTTTATTCTCACAACATATACTTCACCATTTACTCAAAACCAACAACTGCATGTAAAATCTCTGAATAATATATATATGATTGGAATTTTGATGAAGACAATTTTGACGCCACGAAGATGCATTGCACTAACTATACTAGTTTGTTTTCATGCGATACAAAAACATATTCTGATCCCAAACTAAAATGTGCATTGCAATAATACATAACAAACCGATGTGTAAATAAATAATTGTCCTTCCCGGCATTCCCTATGGCTAAAGTTGACTTGCTCTCTAAACCCCCCTAACGTCCCTACCACAAATGGAATGATCCCTCTGTTAGTTTTCCCGGTATTTTGTTCAAAAGGTGCATCCATATGCTATAATAATACGATATCAAATTGATAAAAACAAGTTAAATACGACGATATTGGACAAGCAGTTTTGATATACATGTGCTATGAAATCTAGAATGGATATAGGCGTATATATCTGACGGACGCTACACGTGGTAACCAGAAGCGTGCCTGTTTCGTGTAGTCACTTTCCTTGGTATAGTGTTTAACCAGATTTCAACATAATAACTTTGCTGTGGTTAGATATGCGAAATCAAAATATTCATACAATATGGAATACTCTCAATTATAAGTGCAACCACGGCAAAGTGGCCTCCGCAGCCACAAAAAAATAGAAAACAAAAAGAATAATGTCGGTACATGGATCAAAGTCACATACGACATTGACTTGCGAAGCAGAAAATCGCATTCAGAAAATCTAGCTTATATATATGGCCAAAATAGTGCCAAAGCCTGTGGTTAATTAACAAAGTCAGAAAGCTACCTAGGACACGACTGCAGTGACCATCCAAGCAAGTAGTCATAGGGGAATCCATTGCTGATTTCTCTTTATTTGTTGATACGAAATGCAAGAAGGCCGACCATGAGTAGTTCCTTGTTTGTAATAAAACCGTTCTAATATAAGGATATAGGATTATCGTGACTTGGCTCTCAATTGTCTCAACATTTATATTTTCTTTTATTTTTATAAATAGGTTCCTATAGCATTGGATTGTTTAAGGATCATTGGATTATGACGTTTTCGTTGAACTAATCAACTTTTCACATCGCTGATCTCAGAAAACAAATGTATAATTAGAAAATAAATCAAATTCATGAAAAAGAATATTGAACTTACACTTGGAATGTTGTCTTGTGTGCATACTTGTTCCTGTAATAACCGGTCTCTGATCTCCCAGGCGAAGATCGACGGACATTCTCTCTTAAATTGAGCAATCTTTCCGACGACTGGTGGGGTGGCAACACGGGGTTTGCTTCCTCCAATTGCCCGAGGGCGTATGGACCCCGTTTCGTAATAACGGCCGAGAATCTTGCTAACACATCCGTTACTAACTTGGAGAATTCGGGAGATGTCGCAAGGTCTGGCACCACTATGAGCAAGTTCCACAATCTTCTGTCGTGTGCTATCTGGTAGAGGTCTGCCGTTTACAAACACACCACCAAGTTGATTTACTCCGCTGTGTCCTAAAATAAAAAAAAAATAAAAATGGGTAAATATACAAAATTTATATTATCATCCCTAATTTAAAATCAGTGCCCGCATTTTTCAAATTTAAGATACAAATATTAATCGCCCAAAATTAAATATCAGACTCCACTACATCGTATGTCCATTCGTTCAAATATGCATTTAATTATTTATATCATTACAAATGTACTCATTTTGTGAACCTAAACTGGTATAAAATGTAGTAATGTTAAGAAAAAATACAGTATATTGTCGGCGTTGTTTAGCATCAATGTATTATGATGATATTATTATAACTAAATTCCAAATAATGGTAATTATATCAGGTCTGTGTGAGTTTAAATACATTTTGAATTCAGTTGAATTATATATTTGAAAACATCATGCTAATACATGGTTAATTGGTCACTGGTCATAACTAGGGCAAATGACTGGCTGACTAACTGGCTGGTTGGCACAAATGACTGACTTTCTAACTGGCTGTGGAAAGCTATATCGCGCTATAATTCACCCGAGGAGGTGAAAATTAATATTGAAAATTAATTAGATAAGCTTTGTTAATATGGCAAGACAGGCGGTGACCGGAGTAACGCAGAGTGTGAGATGAGAGCTTCAATATAGACTCACTAAGTGTTGGGTTGGAAGCTTTAGAAAGAAGAACTACTTGTAAACTATACTTCTTGGTATTGAAATCCAGCAGCGAGGGTACTTGAGTATGTCAATTTAAAGCATACAACTACAAGTTGCGCAAATAAACCAGTGTTTTATTGTGAAAGGAATTGAGCATGTATAGTAGATACGATAAGGCTCCCCTATGAGATTTTAAACAACATGGAGTGATGTTGTGTTTGTTTCATTGACTTTGACAAATCGACGTTTCACTTCGTATTACCCGGACCCTAGGGCAACTCTTAACTTAACGGTAGTCTAGCTGGTAGTGTGAATGGGACTAAATCTGAAATATGCAGTGCCTATGTTTGAAAGTGCTCGGAGCTATCCGTACGCGACCAACACAGGTTGTGTTCAATGCTATTGAATGGGAGAACATCACCACGCAAACCATAGTACCCGGGACGACAACCAAACGTAATACATCAAACAAGCGGAATCCGCTGACGAGCGGTGCTTTGATGTTAGCGGGTATCCCCTGGAAGTAGATTTGGCCTCCCGCGCTTCCAACTCAAAGCGACGTTCGTGGCTGGTAGCTGAGCGGGGTAGCTGCATAGCTAGGTAACTGTTTCGAGCTCTGTGACTTGTGAAACCAGTTTCACGCCAATGACAGTAGCTCGAAAAGCCTTAAGTAAAATTGGCTTACAAAACCTCTCTATATAACATTTATGAAATAAAACTTAAATTGCCATCGGGAGTTTCTCGTTTTCGAATCACAGATGAGTCGGCGCAGGTTGGGTAACTTATGTTCCCTTTACTCAATACTAACACGTGTTCCGTGACTTTTTAATAAAACACTGCAATAACAACACGGTTTGGAAGCGACGTTTTCCCACACCTTTACAGTGACTGTCAATTTTTTCCAATTAATCTTCTGAATGACAATACGGTTGACTTTGGAATATAAAGAATAAACGTGGATATCCCATAATTGTACCCTTCGTGTTTTCAATATAACCCCGGCCTCTACAGAATACAATATGCATTTCCTTTTTGTGTCCATTCAAAACAGACTCTGCAAACAATGATCTCAATAAACGGCATCAGATTACGGAATATTAGCTTGCTTTTGTTGAAATATCCAAATATTTTTCAAAAGAAATAGGTTTCGTTTTACCGAGTTTTGTCTACGATACAAGGGTGCTGGATTAGAGGTCTCTCGGTGGATATCTCTTTGTCCGCTATGTATTTCCACCAGTGCACCAACAAGGCGGGAAACACTAGTCAACTTCTAGTATATCTCACCATATTCCTTGTTAGCGTTTTAAATTCTTTCAAATTGTAAAAACGAGTTACAGTTTAGCTGGGGCTATGAGATTTACAATACGTCTTTACTGTACAATTAAATACTAATTTCTAAGTAAAACTAAAATAACGCCATGCAATTCGTGGCTATTGTGTACGCAAAAAGAATCCCTTTTGTAGTATTAGTTTTATGTTAACGAATAAGATCGTTTTAATTACGACGTATTAGGTGTCAATGCCATTGGCATTGCTTTATCAACTTGTATTGGAACCAACTGTACAGCGCAATTGAATTATAAAATCAAACAAATGACGTCACGGAGAGCAATTGTCAATTATAAATAGACAGTAAACAGACAATTATTTTCTAATTAAAAAAATGTGGTTAATTTGGAACAATTATCTAATTAACAGGTCATTGTGAGTGTGTGACTTTTCGCAAATCACGAAGATGTTGGTTTTCGCTAAAAATGCGTTTCGTTGCAAAGATAGATGATAATTTGAATAATTATAACATTCATTTAAACCGAAATTTGATTATTTACGAGATTATGAGTTAGAAATATCAAAGGTCTGGCTATGGTTGAATCATTGTATTAAATGTTCTTGTCTGTAGACAGCTTTTTTATTTGATTTTATATTTCGTGATAAAGTCATATTGTTTAATAAATCGTCCATTTATTCATGTTTTATATGTGGAATACATGTTATTATTAGTGAGTACATACTATGAAATTGTTCCGTTTCACAACTACTTGTTAATTTCAGTGACGGTAAGTTGTACATGCTTGAGTCTCTGTTTGAAACATTTATAAACTCATCTACGATCTCAAAACTCAATAACTTTACTTTCGGTTTAATAAACTGCAATTATCGTGTCCAAATAACACGTAGCTGCTTGTCGGTTTTGTTGCCCCGTTAGAGGCGCTTGTGTGTGTATATATGTACATTCATATATACAGTACGTGTTGCCGAGAAGTTATGTATACTATCGGCAAGCTCAAGTCACCCCTGCTGTGAAACTAACAGTACAAAACACTGAGGTAATATAAAAAACTACAGGACTTAGTGTGATCGTACGAAAAGCACATTGTAGTGCAGGTATTGCAATCATAAATTCCTAGTTGGTGAATAGGTATACGACGTCCCGTAGAGATATCGTGAATCATGTCAGAACTATTAAACACCCATCACATGTTCTCAGTCCAATCCTCAAAAAAACTAATATTCCGCCAATCAAGTGGACTGATCACCCTTTGATTACGCTTCATAATTCCTGAAAATTGACTACTACGAAAAATAGTTTTTTTTATTAAGCGTGTTCTCTGGTTCTTTGCAGTGTGGATAAGTCAATAGCTTGTGAGATGTTGGGTGCCGTTTTAAATAGCTTAGTATTACGGTGGTTTGCTTAAATCAAATGACACCCCGCGAAGCGATTTGGTGAACGGTAGTCTGCCATTATCCACCGATCGCTTCAAAAGAAATCGGGAAATTTATTTGATATAAAAACCGCGAGGAAATATTAGAAAGTAATATAGGTAATTTTGAATTTATAAAATTGCGTGTGGTTTTCAGTATGTGGTATACTGATCGATCCATCTGGCCACTGCGTCCCGGTTCACCGTACAAGCGGTCATGCTGCTGCCGATTAAATGATAAAAACATTTACTAGATCTTGTTTGTCGATACACTATGGTCTAAAAACATGTTTGTCAACATTTCCATTAAAAGGGCTCTGGCGGGCAATCGAAATTTGGTATAATGTACTAGCGTCTATGACATGTTCGTGTGACTCTGTGTCGTTTTAAATAGGTAACATGTAAAGCGCGTCGTTTTAAAAGACGATATTTTAATAACACAGAAATGTTGAAATGTCTAAATATGTTACCTACATTTCAAACGAGCCGACAGTTTCGTGACAAACACGAAAGAAAATATAGAATCAGTAGCAATCATCCACGACAAAAATTATAACAACAACGAAACGTAGTGCTGTGTTTGTTTAAACCCGTCCCCAAATAAAAGAAAGACAGCTTGAATTTACACAGTTGTCACATGCTTGCTTCAAATATCACCTGAGACGAAAGTAAAAAAAAATAATGTCGGAGAATAAATAAATATATATAATAAAACATAGTCAAATAATTGTTCCGATTTTTCTCCACCGTTCATCGCAGTGCTATGACTCGTTCACTTTGTATTGAACCTGCAAACAGTTTCATTCACTTTCTTGAGTATAGCGATTTACGTATGCCGATTACCTGAAAAATACTACTATTTACGATGACATTCCTTGTATATCGAGTTACAAAACCCTTGCAATGAATCCCCTATTGGGCTGAACAGCTAAGTACAAATTAAACAAATAAAGATGGAGAAAAGTATCAATGCTTTTAGAGCGCTGAAAAGTCAACTAAGTGGAGCAATAGCGCCATGTAAACATCGTCTTATGGCGACAAACAAGATGGAAACTCAAATCAAAATTAATCTGTACTTTAGTTTTTCAAAAAACAAAACGATCTCAAAGTGGTATAGCATGGCGAGCGTCACGGTATTGTAGGTGGTATAGGTGGTGCCATCGCTATAAATATACCAGACAGAAATGTGTCAACTATCGAATGAAATCGAACATGACAATGGAATATGCGGAATATCGCTAATTTCCACTGGCAATAGATGACACGCATTCATAAGTTGTCGGTTACGGTATCTACAGGAATATCCATATGGTATTTCCCATCCTCCAGGCTTCATTTTTATGGAAATTGTAAACAGATTTGCTTCTATTCTAAATGGCCATTTTGGTATTACGATTACGAAAACGTGGAACTTATTTTTACATTTCCATATAATAAAAAATAGGCATCGCAGGTGACATTTAATGGAAATGGTCGATTTCGATTAACAGTTTAACTGCCACAAACCTGTCCTGACAAGTGGCGATGTTATGATTAAAAAAATTGACTGAGTCACTAACACGTTAATTATCCTGTATAATATGTTTGTTTCACTCACGTAAACTTTGGACATGACAAAACAACATTGACAGTTATGCGGAAATTGTTATCGACAGAGCTGTTTT